GCGAGTGGACTAGTTCAAAGCCCCGTGAGAGAGTAGGAATATGGAAAGGTGCAAACGAACATACAGAGTAGGGCGGAAAAGGGTCGTTATAGAAAGAGTAACATACGAGACACACACACACACACACACAGACAGATTGAGCACACAAAGACTTATTTCAAATAGATTAAGCCTAACTAAAAACTAACTTATTCCCAGATTTTCCGGGATAGCTTAGGTCTAACTTATAAATAACTTATTTCCGGTGTGCCCGAAGTAATTAAAGCTATCTTATAAATAACTTATTTCCGGGTTTTCCGGAATAGATTAAATCTAGCTAATAACTAACTTATTTCCGGGTTTTCCAGAATAGGTTAAAGCTAACTTATAACTAACTTATTTCCGGTGTGCCCGAAGTAATAGAGAAAGAAGAAAGAAAAGTTTGTTGCAAGCAACAAACATTCATAGTCATAAAGTGACAGAGTAGGAGACTTATAGCTAAGAGCTTAAGTGCTAATTAAATCTAACTTATTTCCGGTGTGCCCGAAGTAATAGAGAAAGAAGAAAAGCTACTTAGCAAACTACAGCTAACCAAAGCAGTTAGCTGCACACACACAACACATACGATACACAGATCACTCAATTAGCAACAGTCCAGGAATCGAGGAAATGGTGAAGAATGGACACAGAAGTTGGGGCTTAACTATCTAACGTCACGGCGAATTAAAATTCCCAAAGCCAATACGAATCCCCAAAGCCTTAGTTAAGCGTTAATAGTCAAAGGTTAAGCAAAGGTTAAGCGTTATGCTAAGATTTGAAGCAATTTCTAAGGTTAGTGTGTTAGTAGCGGAGTCGTATCATGAGTTAGAATATTTAAATGCATATTGTTCAACACATCAATAATTAGTGGAAGGCTAAATGAATAATTAATAATGAAGTGGCAAATATAGTAAAGCAACTACATAGAACATTAACACTTAATAGCGGCTAAGCAACGACATAGAACATAACTACTGTGCACTGGTTCTAGTATAAAAGATAATGAATAGCTACAATGGTTAGTATAGTTCTGAAATATGTACAAGCAAATTAAAGCGGGTTAGTTAGTAAAGAAGCCAACAAAGTATTAAAATCACTCTAATAAATCCACTATTAATTAACTCTTATTCCCATAGATAAAATACCTCACAGCTGAAGTGCTGCTACAGTAATTACGAACAACATTGACTACAAACTAAACACCACACATTATATTTAGGTACCGGTAACACCGTGTTCTCACGGACCTACGCGATAAACAAAGCAAACAAAAAAACACACGAATATGAAAAGCCACCTTGCGTGACCGAAACCGATCGAACTTGAATAGATTTAAACAATACAAATAAAACAACACAATTAAAACAGAAAGGAATTATAACCGGGCGGATCTCGTTCTGACCGTTACTTCTTTGAACTCACGGTCTATAAGTTATGTATTGAACGAAATTAAGATATTCCAAAAATCAAAGCTGATCGTTATATATTTACAGAGTTATTTTAACAAAACAGATAACACTCTATGTTATAGTAAAACGATAAAGATATTCACCGGTTTAAATCAATCGATCTCTGTTAATAATTCAATTAAATTTAAGACGAAACTTCCCGCGGACGTTTGACTTAAATAGCGTAATTAATTAACAGGAAATAAACGATAGCGAGTGAGGTCGAGTTATCCTAGGCGCCCTAGGATATTAACAACGGCGAATGGCGTCCACTTACTTGGCGTGAGCGAGAGTGTAGAGTCGGGCGTCCGTCTTCTGCCTAATTGCTCAGGCCACTGCTCCTGCTTCCTGCTGACTGTCGACTCTCGCCGACCCCGACTCACTGTCTCTGCGAGCGCCGCGCACATCCAGCGCTGTGGCTGGGGTTCCTGCGCAGGCGCGGGCGACTCATGCGCGGCCCCGGTGGCACGGCGGTGAACCACAAGATCAGCTGTTGCTGAACTTGTGTCATCTGCTAATTTCTTTTGTTTACATTTTGAAACTTAACGTCGGTGAATTGGCGAGGCGATTCTGCCAGTAAGGGTTTAGTTTGATTATAAATATTCACGAATTTTATGAACCCTTACAATTTTCTCAGAGCGGAATATGTTCCAAACACTGCGAGTGACAATGATGACGTCTTTGCGATCACTGGAAATGTCGCCGATATTATAGGTGAGGATGGTAATGTCTTCATGATAGCGGGAAATGTTACAACGGTTCCGCAAACCCAGGAGACAATAATGTCTCCGTACTCGTGGGAGATGTTCAAGATGGCAATACAATCCGAGGAGCAGTTCACAATGGGTTTGTAGTCATGGGAGATGTTAACGATGTCGCCCTGAGTGCATGACATGTTACTGATGGTGCTATGATTGCGGGAATGTTTATGATGCTGCTTATAGTCACTATGACATTGCCGCTGCAGGGACCACTAAATAGCAGGCATAAAACAAATACTTTCTCACACAAAATTGTAGATACTTTCCAAGGAATTTTAAAACCCTGTGACATAGTGTTTCTATAAATAAAGGAGCAAAATTTGACAGTTTAATTGTTCAGACCAATATGCTATTTTACTATACCTGTGTAAACTATGTTTAAATAAAGCTTTGTCGATATTTTAGTCTGTTGATGTTTGCCAAAAACTACAGATTATTCTGAGTTACAATTAGGGGTCTGCGGGTCAGACTTTTTTGGTTCGGGTCGGGTCGGGTCGGGCCGATAATTTTGGTCCTCGGGTTTCGGGCCAAAATCGGGTCGGGCCAAAAATTATTAATTACCGGATTTTTTATATTTTTTTAACTCCTATCTGTGTTTTTAATATTACTTGAAAATAACATATGGGAAAAAAATGTATTTATGTATATTATTTCATGTTCATAACTTATTTACAGCTTAGAAGTTGCCTCAACTGCAAGAAAGAAGAAATTAATTTTTTTTATCAAGCCATTCTTTCCCATTTTCATAACTGTTGAAATATCTAAACAGCTATATTACAACAAGTTTGTAATGGAACTTAATATAAAAGGATCATAAACAAATCAATTAACCTTATCACAAGTTTAGGGCCTGTGGACTGGCTTCAAGACTGCAAGCAAGAAGAAAATAAAAATTCTATGTTTCCACCATGCAATATGAATCATTCATTCCCTGCCTCCTAACCTCCTAAGTACAAAAACCTCACACTTACAATAGCATTATTAGTTACATCATCATAAATAAAGAATTATCTAATTTATTGGCATTAGTAGGCCTACAGCTTTACATAGGAATTATTTTTTATAGGGCCTAAAATAGTAATAGACTAAGCAACATGACAAGTGGAGAACTCATTGAAGAAAAGATATTGTGTAAACTAATTTACTATAAAACTCTAAAACAGTAAAAATAGCACACATACATTGTTTATGGTATAGTTATAGTAAAGACTGTAAAAATTGCATATCATGTCATAGGTACACAGTTATAGATACACAGTTATAGGCACAGTTATAGGTATTGCAAGAGATCCTAAAACAACTGATTTTAGCTAATAAATGAAAAGAATTAAAAATCCATAAACTCAAGTCAAACAATATCACAATTATTAGGTATCCAAAAAGGAACTCTTAATATATAGAAAATTATATTAAATCAAGAGAAAAGAAAGTTAAATGCTAATTTGGCAACATAAGCAGACAGCAGAGACATTATAGTGCCCTAATTAGCAACACAACTCAATGTTTTTATACTGTAAGTCAATGTTTTTGAAACCGTAGGGTCTTTTTCTCGGAAGGAAGGGTAGTAGAATGTAAACAAAAAACCATGAATCACTCTCACAGCCGGGCCCGGGGACACTCAAGGTTACAGACCCTCCCCCTCCCCTCCCCTCCCCTCTTACACAACCCGAGCCAGGCCCGGGGACACTCAAGGTCATAGACCCTCCCCCTCCCCCGCCACTATTACACCACCTGGTTGTTCCAATTGCTGACAAAATGCAAGTAACGAAACAAGGAAGTAGAGACAAAAAGATATATTTTCTTTATTCAAAAATATAAAACTGTTACAGATAATTTATAAAGAAATTAATTCATGGTAGTTTGTGTCTTGTAAATATTGTATTGGATCTTAGAAATATATTTTTTGAAACTCTATCTAACCTAAGAAAAAAATAATTTTACTGATGAAAACTTTCATAAAATAAAATTATAAAATATTTAGGCCTAACCTCTTTGTAGACTTGCTGATACTTGATACTTAAAAAAAAATGAAATAGTGACCATACAATGCCTAACCAGACGATCAGAAGTGTTGTTTTGTTTTGTTACTGAATGACAAAAAGGACAATAGGAAAATAAAAGAACAAGATACAGATCTGTACACTATATCAGATATTTCTTTTGTTTATAATTTATTATGTAAATAAAATACTAAAATATATTTTAAACTAGGTATGGAATAAACAATAAATAATAAAAATGGGACCTCTGGATAAATAGTCTTTCTTTTGACTTCGTTTTCTTTGCACTGTTGAGTCACGGCTTTTGTTTTGTCAGTAGACGACTGGCTCTGGCTAGTGACAGTAAGGCAATTGCTCTGTTGTGTCTTTGTTCTTAAACGTGAGCAAACTTAATATTTAATTCTAATTTTAACATTTTAATTCCTCTGTAATAATATATATAAGAGTGTTTCTTTGAAAATTACTTATTATAACTTTGAAAATAATAATAATTTTTTTGGCCCGACCCGATCTTGGCCCGAACAAATCTCTGACCCGACCCGGTCTCTCGGGCCTTCCGCTGGCCCGACCCGACCCGAAAAAATCGGGGACCCGCAGACCCCTAGTTACAATTGCTGAGATACTATAGCATAATTGGAACAAAAATTCCATCATCGAAAATTCTAGTGTAATGTTCAAGAATACAAATGTTTTATTTCTTTTATTTACATTTCCTCATCTAAAGTACCAAATACGATAATTATGTATGATAAGCAGATACAAGTAAGTCTTACTGTCAATAAAGAAGGCAGGGCTGACAGCTAGAGTGGAGACAATACCAGTTTCCATACAAACACCCGCGTCTCCATTCACACTGTGTATCCACACATACACCTGTAAACATTAAAATACATAGATAAAATAAGTTTTATCTGACAGATTACAACAAAAGCAGTGGAGGTATGCTTATTCAAAAACAGATGGGACCAGGTTTTAATGAGATAACATAAACCAAATTCATAGATGTGTGCGAGCTTGAGATATTTTTATGAAACCGAGCCCGAACTGAGTTTTTGGAAACAATTAATTTTATTTTATTCAAAAAGCGTGTATTCTAATAATTAGTGCGGTCATAGACTCCAGGATAAAAATGAATATTCTAATATTAATAACAATAATGTGTCCAACAAAAAAATATTTAACATATTTTTCAAAACTTTAAATGAATATTGATATGCATTGCTAGCATAAAAGTAAATATTTAGATTTAAATGACGGCATCCCTTTAACTATCATTGTGTTTAAGCATAAATTAAAATTGTATAAAAACAGTAAATTAAAGTATGTACCTAATCATAAATTTAGTGTAATTTACATTGATACTGATGTTATCATGACTATAATACGTGATTGAGGTAAATACACCCTGCAGTCACAGCAAAATCATCATCTCCTGCGATCACGGCATAATCCTGTTTATTACCTATGGTCATGGAAACACCATCATCTGCGATCACAAGATATTGCCTCCTGAGATTAGATTAAAATGGTAGTCTGGTAAACATCCAGGTAGCCTAGAGACTTACACCAATATATTATCAGTGTAAAACTAACTCAGTAAACCACTATAATTTTTAAAATATACGGTTAAATATTTTACCTTAGTGTCACTGTGCAGAGCAGAGCACTGGTCCTTGGTAGTAGCATTGGTAGGTTTGCCTGTAAGCTGGGCGAGTGTTAGGAGCGTAAGTGTGGAGACTTGATTAGGCGAGCGAGACACTCCGACGTACAAAGGCAGCGGACCTTCCCCCACCACTGTGTCTCCCGAGACGTTACGGAACATACCACATTGTCTGTCCACTAGATAGCAGTACAATAGCTCGTCCACCTAGGGAATATAAGTAACCTGTTTTAACTTTTAACCTTATTCAAGGGCAACAATGGTCTGAGAGAACCAAAGAAAAGGATAATTTAAAATAATAGTGACCCCACTCTTATCTTGTGGGGGGGGGGGAGGGGACCAAAGCCATAAAGCACTTCATCTAAATTATTGAGCACCCCGATAAGTAGTTTTATTGAGAGACCTTCAAATTCCAAGCACCTAGTACAGTAGTCGCAGCTAGTCTGGGCGCGCGGCCGCGCTACGGCGAGGGGTGTAGAGGGGAGTGTTTATTGCTCATTTCCAAAAACATCTGGCCCACACGGCTCTCTGGGGTTGTTCAGCGAGGCTGTGGGGGTGAGCGAGCCGTTACTCTCAGCACGGCTAGTACACAAGGGTCCGCGCGCCCAGACTAGCTGCGACTACTGTAAATGTCTGTAGTCCCCCAATCAGTTCCTCCTCAGGAAGATTACACCCTCTTACCAGATTACCAAGCCCTGTTGTTAGCCATCAGTTTTTGTGTCTTAGACGGAGGGCTGTATTCCTTGCCACCACCTTAGTAAAAATATAAATTAGTAAACAGTAAACAGTCAAAAGCTGCTCCAAGAGAGCTATTTATTGCCCCTGTAATTATAAGACCAGCAAGTCTGCGCTCTTGCTATAACTTTAACTGCAGCAGCAGATTCCATCTCAGGCCACCATACAAGCGAACCACATGTCAAGGCAGGTCGGACCACAGATATATACAGCCAGTCCAAAAGTCTGCGCTGCAGTCCCTATGTTTTTCCACCAGTCTCCTGCATGTCATAAGACATGCTAGTGTGCAGAGTGACACTACTCCATTAATTATAAAATCAGCAAATGTAAAAATAGTGGGTTTCATACTTTTAGAAACGTGTTCAAAATTTTCATCCGATTAATTCAAATTGAAACAGCATATTATCACGGCACAATATTATAAAAATGATTAACTACTTAATTTAAAATAAAAGTAAGTACAGGAAAAAGTGGTTAAAATTGATCCATGCTCTCTAATTTCCTTGCACATTAAGCAGCACAAATTACCATTCTAGGTAACACATACAGAAATTGATATAAAACTTGTTTTGGCTTACCTAGGCTATGAATCTTTAAAGTTACCAGAAACTAGATCTCATGAGAAGCTCGCCTATCTAAGGCAGAGCTAGGAGGGAAGAGACCCACTTAAAATAAACCCTGGACAGCGTAGCGTGTTGATTTTGATGGGATTCATTGCAAGTTGTAACTCGAATCAATCAATTTGCTACTTTTTTGCTTATACTTACTGTCTGTGTGTGTCAACTTAAATCATAATCCAAAATAATGACTCCTATGACAGGGTGAGGGGGGAACTAAATAAATAGACATAAGAATCACTGCATGACCTACAGTGTTAAAAACCACTAGACAGATTCTCAAATATACAAAGCAGTTTAGTGTTTGAATTTAGGACACAATATTTTTAACTTATTTATGTACCCACCAGCGTCACAGTGGCTGCTGTACTGATATTTGCCGGCCATGTCACATCTTTGTCCACCAGTCTAGCCAACGCAAGCGCCATTGTTTGTGCAATGTTGGCAATACTGTTTTGCACACTGGTCTCCGCAGGTTGGCTACCATTGGCGTACTTGTAGGCTGCGTTTACTGAGTCATCAAAGAATCCGTTGTAGTACCTAAAAATGATGCAATTAGCCACCATTCCTCGATCTCTGTTTTTAACTGAGACATATCATGAAAGGAGCCAGTCGAACGGTATAATTTTGTCAAATATCAGTAATTTTGTCAGTACTTTTCGATCTTCCGATCTGCAATATAAATTTTGGATCTTCCGATCGGCTATTTAACTATTGTATCTTCATCTTCCAATTTTGGATCTTGTGAAGATTATCAATACTTTCTATCATTCTACATTTAAATTTCTGTTCTGCACAAAGTTAACTTTTTTATACTATTTAAGAGTTTACAAAATCTAACGAAAAGTTAAAGTAGTTTATGCAGCATTTCCAATGTTATTTCATCTATACTACAAGGTGTACATGTTTTCTAGGTTACACTAGAGGTAGGCCTACTTACATGTTCGTATAGGCTTTGTCGTGATTGGTAAGAATGACTCCAGGCAGGGACATGTTGGCTTTGAGGAATGAGTGGAGAGAAGAGGGAGGTAGTTGTTGTTTGGCCTGACTACACGACCCTGCCACAGTCACGTCAAACTGCTTACTGGCCGACACTAGAGTTGAGATTGTGGTCTGTAACATGCATCACTATCAAACTGTTGTTACGGACACACAAATATTTACTGTATTCACTAAACCTTAAGCAAAAACGGCTGGTATATTGACCATCATATTAATAAGTAACCTAGCCCAATCCTTCACTTAAAACTGTCTATGCAACCACAAACACCTGACGCCCTACATCCTAGAGGTCAATCATCATCAATTGTGATGGGGTGCATATATCAATCTAGGTGCATATTTTAACCCAAATATGAATGTAGTAAGAGAGTATAATGGAATGAGATGATCTGTGTAGCTTTGGTTGACAATACCAGCTGTTTCACCCAGGATCATTGATTAAAAGCCCGATAATTTAGGATAGCTGGGTCTCGTTTCAAAACATCAAAAAGCTACACACTGGGTCTGACTTAGGGGAGGTACAAATGAGGCATTTAGTTCAAAATTCCTCCGTGAACAGCGCTGTAGTAGAGAGCACTTTAGCAATAAAGGTTTACTAATCGCAAAAATAGTTCTGTTCATAAAATAAAATTATAAATGCCTCAAATTCAATTTTACTATTTTTAATTATAAATTAAACTATCATAACCTAACCGAACTAACCAAACTTGCTGATAAAGAAATAATATAACAAAAGTTTAGTAATCGGAAAAATAATTCTGTTTATTAAATAAAACTAGAAATTGCCCAATTAAAATTTTATAATGACTTAATAATAAAATTAAACTGTAATAACCAAACCAAACCAACCAAATTTGCTGATAATAAAAAAATCTTGGACAAAAAGTTTAATGCTACCAGCGGGATTCGAACCCGGGACCTACAGTATACCAGCCCGGCACGCTAACCATTAGGCCACCGAGGCCGATGGCTATCGAACGTTTTGTTACGGTAATGGCGTTCCCTCAGCTAATAAGAAGCCCTCAGCTGTTATTAGCCCTGACAACTGTAAATTTGTATATATTAGAGTGTGTTATTTTTGTAAAACAAAATTCACATTTCTTTAGCTCAAGAAATAATTTTCACTCATATTACACAAGGGGAAGATCTGCTTTGGATAGGCCCTACACCAGACTAACAACAGTACAGCAAAGTTTTGCTAGTATATCAGTAAAAATAGTAAATTGTTTTGCAAGTGAAATACTTGACATTCCTTGTACTCGGCTAAAACAAAAGTTGATGGTTTGGCTTGCTGACCACCCTTTTTACAGTTTAGATGAATTTTTTGCAGAATACAATTGTAATGGTAAAATTGTTATCTAGTTCTTACTTAGTCCCTAGTCAACTGTTACCTAGTCTTTCAAACACTTGTTTAAGTACCTCACTTTTGTTTCATATACAGTGTGTAAATTAAGTATGGAAACAAATCTGTATTTTTTAAACCAAAATAGATAGAAATATTTGGTTTGTGGCATTGACTGTTAACCCTAGCAGTGGCCAACCGTCGTCTGGTTACGGTATGACGTTGATGCTTAGAATGGCCAAAGTCGTCTGGTTACGGTATGGGCCGAAATTTTTTTAACGGTAAAAAAAAACACTTACAATCAACTCAGATTAGAATAATATATATACCATTCGAAAGATCACATTCTGAACTTTCATTTGATTACATAAACAAACCCTGTAGCAGGTATATATTAATGTCACGACGATTAGAAATCAAATGAAATTTTGGCGCGGTACGACTTTTGCAGCCGACACTTGGGAACTGGCAAAACACGTCTTGTTTGGCATTACCCTGCTCGGGTAATTTTCGTCTTGGGATGTTGCGGGTGATACCACTGGATAGCCATTGATTTTATCTTCATTGTGGTAGTGATATTTATAACTAAATATTGATTGCACAATCGGTACGATTTTATGAAAACAGCTGTTTTCGAAATTTCTAACAAATGGCCAACAGTCGTCTGGTGACAGTATGGAAAATACGAATTATATACAGTGAAAGTTATTATTACTAGTCATATAGTATATCATTTTGAAGAGGAAGAAATTTAGATTCAGAGAGTGGCAGCCCTGCACTCAGGGTTATTTCTGTATGCTCGCATGTAGACAGTGATGTAGACGACGGAAGTGAGTCATTACTGCCACAGTCTGTCAGCTGTCTTGCATTGCCATTGTTTGTTTGTGTTGTTGCCGTAATAGTTTTATCCGCGATTTATTACTAAATATGTTATTAGTTCGTAGTGTTAGTGTAAGTGAAGTGTTGTGTGTGTGTATAACAGTTATCTTCATGCATAAATATTACTGAATTGTGTGGAATAGTGTTCATAAAAGGTTGTATTTTGTTAGCATCATGTCCTAAAATGACGATTCTGACATTCAGAGATTGTTGTACCTATATAATGATATACCCAAGGTGTTATACATTTTTATAAAAGTAAATGAATACACTACAACATGTTTATAATGGTTCGGGGGTAAACAATTTTGTAAAAAAGTTATAGCCTATACTAAATAGGCCTACTACTGTAGGCTATTTTGTTAGCATCATGTCCAAAAATGACGATTCTGACATTCAGAGGGGTTATAATGATTTACCCAAGGTGTTATACATTTTTATAAAGGTAAATGAATACACTACAACATGTTTATATTGGTTTGGGTGTAAAAAATTTGGTAAAAAATTATATAGGCTACTAAATACTGTACACTCCATTTTCTTGAAATGCGCAAAAAATTCAAAACGTTCTCAAATTGATAGGCCTACATAATCATAGGTGAAAATAACTTTTTACCATCATACTTATGACTTTTTTGGATTCCTTACTTCATTGGCTTTACAAATATGTAGGCTACATATCATCAGCCTACATAATGTTTCACAACACAAGCAAACACTGTAGGCTATAGTTTACACTTATTTGCGGTTTTGCGGTTATTGTATTATTATGTCCCTATTACGTACCTACAAAAAAATATTTCTAACATGTTATACATTTTTATGTTGGTAATTGAATACACTACAAGATTATTATGTTGGTTTGAAGTAAAAAAATTTGGTACAAAAGTTGTATACTAAGTACTGTGAATTTTGTTTTTCGAGAAATCGCTAAAATATATAAACATTATTTTATATACGTATGTTTATAGGTAAAAAATTATTTTTACCATAAACTTTATGACTTTTTTTGATTCCTTACTTCATTAGCTTTACAAACATGTATATATCATTATTAGTATACACATGTATTATAGAACTTTTTACAACATAAACTAACACTGTACGGTTCTCAATTTTTTCGGTTCTCCGTTTGTCATTATATTTCGCCCCAAAAACTTATAAAAAAAAAATATTTTCCTAACATGTTATATATTTCTATGTAGGGAATTAGATTTTCTACAAAATGTATATAATGAATTTCCCATAAAGAAATCCGTAGAAAAAAAATACCAAGGCCGCTTTTGAAATTTCAAAAAAAAAAAATTCAAATTTTTTTATTTTTTTCACTTTATCGATAAAATACACTGTCTAAATCATTATGATATTACTATTTCTAGATTCTCCTGTTCTTTCCGAACAAAATGAATATGAGGTTGGCTAGGTTTACTTGTACGGTTGAATTTTTACGAATTTTCAAAAAAAGGTCTGCAAAATCGCCAAAATGGGTTGGCCATTCCCCACTTCTAACATTGGCCACTGCTAGGGTTAACCAAGGTTCCGGAATTTTTTGCATCAGAAAAAATTTTTCACCCCCTCAGGGGGGGTAGGGGTAACTTAATTTTTTTAAATAGCAACCCCTATTGAGTGACCTCTCATTTTGAAGGGTTTGTCAAAAGAAATACAATGCCGTAAACCTGAGGTCGATATCTTACCCCTAACCAGAATGGCGGCCATTTTAAATTTCGAGATGGGCAAACGAAATCCAGTGTGGATACCCATAATTTACCTTTTAAATGGGTTACATTGGGTAAGCCGAACTCCAGATACCATTATTAGATTGAAAAGTGGATGTTTTTATCGTATTCAAAATTTTGCCCCAGCCCCCAAAATAGGGGATTTTGGGGGCAGCCCCAAATTTTTAAACGCAAACCCCTATTGAGTGACCCCTCGTTTTGAAGGGTTTGTCAAGACAAAAGCAGTGGCACAAATCTTAGGTCGATATGTCATCCCTAGACGAAATGGCAGGCATTCAAAAACTTGATTGGGTAAAAAAGCGCCCATTTCACCAATTAAAAATGTTGAATGCCTGTTATAGTAGCCCCTATTGAGTGATCAGTCATTTTATAGCTTTTGTACCGCTAAACCTGTCACAAACGAATTGTTTGAAGTACAGATAAGACAGGAAATAAATAATCTAGAGCACAAATAATACAATCATAAATAATAACACATAATAAAACTAATTTAATACCGTAAAACACACTCGCTTAGGACTTTGTCAAGTTGCTCTTGGCCATCAATTCCAACATCTATGAATTATTCAGGTAATAACAGCAAACATTACTTTAATAGTAATACCTTTTGTCTGTGTGTGTGTTTTACAGTATTAAATTAGTTTTATTATGTGTTATTATTTATGATGTGTATTATTTGTGCTCTAGATTATTTATTTCCTGTCTTATCTGTACTTCAAACAATTCGTTTGTGACAGGTTTAGCGGTACAAAAGCTATAAAATGACTGATCACTCAATAGGGGCTACTATAACAGGCATTCAACATTTTTAATTGGTGAAATGGGCGCTTTTTTACCCAATCAAGTTTTTGAATGCCTGCCATTTCGTCTAGGGATGACATATCGACCTAAGATTTGTGCCACTGCTTTTGTCTTGACAAACCCTTCAAAACGAGGGGTCACTCAATAGGGGTTTGCGTTTAAAAATTTGGGGCTGCCCCCAAAATCCCCTATTTTGGGGGCTGGGGCAAAATTTTGAATACGATAAAAACATCCACTTTTCAATCTAATAATGGTATCTGGAGTTCGGCTTACCCAATGTAACCCATTTAAAAGGTAAATTATGGGTATCCACACTGGATTTCGTTTGCCCATCTCGAAATTTAAAATGGCCGCCATTCTGGTTAGGGGTAAGATATCGACCTCGGGTTTACGGCATTGTATTTCTTTTGACAAACCCTTCAAAATGAGAGGTCACTCAATAGGGGTTGCTATTTAAAAAAATTAAGTTACCCCCTACCCCTACCCCCCCTGAGGGGGTGAAAAATTTTTTCTGATGCAAAAAATTGCGGAACCTTGGTTAACAGTCAATGCCACAAACCCAATATTTCTATCTATTTTGGTTTAAAAAATACAGATTTGTTTCCATACTTAATTTACACACTGTATATAGTTCTGTGTTTTTCAAATGATTTTAGCTTTATTTTCTTGTTGTCTTTGTTATATTTAAGTTTAGTGAAGATTCCATGTTATAGACCATGTTATACTATCTAGAATCTATGGCCCTTTTTTTGTTAACGAGGTCTATTGTAACATATGTTATTTAATGACCAATAAAGATTTATGATTTATGATTTATCGTAGCCTCTTCTATACCTCCCCTGAGTAAATACCTGAACTACACACTTATCTCTAGATAAAACCAGCAACTTTTTGTTTCTAGGTGAGCACATAACGACTAAGCTACCCAAAATTACAACACAATGCTTGGTCTTTGTGTGTGGTAGACCATTTATTAGATCTGATAAATGGCCCAGCATTGAGACAGCATTGTAGGGAAGTCACAAAATTGTGCAATTTTATGAGCCATGAACCTTAAATAACGGACAGTCATTGACAAAATCTTTCTCTCTAGGACTTTTTGCACTTTTATTAAGATAAGCCAACTGTTTATTTCTAAAAACTTTCAACTGTTGACCAAATCTTCAAGTGAGTATTAACCTTATGTAAACATTGGGCAATTTACAATAAAGTCAATAGAAATCGACTAAGAATCAACTGTCAATCCTGATGGATCTTAGTGGAAGTCAATTCTGAAATTTGGGTATGTAACTTCCATAGGGGTTAGTGTCTAAAATTTCAGTACATAAGGATCAGGTTCAATCCCAGGCAAACCAACAATAATTTGAGGGGATTGGACTGTGTTCACTTAAAGGCCTTTGACTTACTTTCATACAAAATACCACTGTATTGTCACAAACATACCTGTGCAGTGTTTGACATGAAGCAGTGACAGTTGAGCTGTCTAGTAGCGTCCAGCTGATGCAAGTCAATCACCTGGTCCAGATGTTCCAACAACACTGGTGCGTCAGACGTTGGAAACTTGCCTTGCAACATGTCGTACACAACTCTGCTGGAGCCTATGTAATCGTGAGCCTCTCCGTTCAACAGGCCAAACATCACGTTCTTGGCTGAAAATGCGACAAGAGTAATTCAGAAAATGATTCAAAGTAAAAGGGTGCTCGTTAAAAGGTTTTTATGAGAATATCAGGTTGTATAGGAAATAGTCTATTCTGGCAAAAAAATTAACACAAAGCTTCAAACTATACACAAAAAATAAGAAAATTTCACTGAACTGACAGCATTTTAGCAGGGCAAGCTTCCTTAGTGAAATATTCTAACTTGTGTGTACAGTGTAAAGTTTTGTTTTCTTTTCATACTATAAGACTGACTATCCCATTTGGGTAAGTCTTCTGTCCATATAAGGATTAGGAAATAATAAACGCTATTAGTTTTAATTTGGAAAATTGATAAGCCTAGCCTTACTTTCCTCTGTGTTAATACTACAAAATAGATATTGAGTGAAACATAAAATTCAATAACATAGGCTATACCAGGACTAAACAAATAAGCATGGAGAGCTGTGGTGGCATGTGCCTTGGGGAAGATGTTGATACAGTGGAACCTTGATAAGAAGACCCTCCACAACAAGTCGCCCTTGATAACAAGTGTCATTTTCAAATCCCCTTAAAATTATTTTACTCCTAATCACATGTTATTACAAACCTCGATAAGAAGTCAACCTTGAAAACAAGTCTTATTTTACAATCACCAGGAGAGTCTTGTTATCAAGGTTCTACTCTAGCTACACACACGGAATTTGCTAAAACCACGAGTTAATACTTAATACCTCTGTAATTAATGAAAAAAAACAAGTTTGTTTAAACCGACAATTTGCTTATGACTTATGACTAAAACTATTTTTGCGGGGCATAGAGGGGGAATAAAATAGTTCCACCACCTCTTTATGATTGTTAAACTAGTCACAATTAATATTTAAATTTTGAACTATTTTTCTGAATCACTTCATGTATATTGTATTGAGTGAAGCTCATGTTTTACAAGTGAGCCAGCTCTTCTTTTGAAAGCTAAATTTATAACCTAACCTAAAACTCTTCACTGAAACACCTGTTACTCACTGTAGCTGTCCTTATGTGTAGGTAAGAGGCGGGTGAGCAGGTGTGACGTAGTGAGGAGAGTAACTAAGCCAGTGACTGTAGTGACTGCGCCAGGCGCTACACCGTCAAACATAGCGGCTGCGTCTAACCGCGCAGTCACTAACACCACACTGCCGTTGGCTACCGACGAGTACAACTGCTGCGGGAACAAGGACGTGAAGATGTTTATGTCTCCCATCGGATCACAGTAGGTCACTGTAATAGGAGAATAATGTTCAGGTATTCAATTGGGGACTTAAAATCAAATTTGTCAAATGGATTTTTGTCTTTGGCCTGTTTTCCAAAGTATTCCTTTCATTGATCAACAAAATTCATTTGCAGTGGTGGACAGTTAGGGAATTTCTCAATTAATTCCATACAATATTCATTTCTGTTTTCTCTGTCGCATGTACATCCTGCGTACAAGCGGGACTGAAAGTGATGCGCCCATGCCTCCTTCTAGTCTCGTTTCCTCTAACTTTGCATTGACTAGTCACCATTTTTATAGAAAAACAAAAAAAACTATCCAATATTTAAATGTGGTGCATTAAGAGGGGAAAATGAAATAGCTTGGAGTATACTATACTCATCAAATACATACATTTTAGGCAGCCTAACATTTTAAACTTTTTTAAATGCGCTTTTAAAAGACCACATTTTTTCTGCCCTAAAGATTCTTGGGGTTGCCCCCCCCCCCCTCTCTCTCCAATCTGCAATACGGCTATGTGTATACCCCACCCAATTTACATAGTCTTGGCTAAGCTACTGCAGAACTCACAGAAAAGCATTGAATCTCTAACAGGATTGTTCCTATACAAAACAATGGCTGGCCATAAAACATATTACATATTTATCCTACAAAGTTTGTCAAGAATGTATGTGTTTGAGAAATGGATTGCTATAGTTCGGCCGCTTAGAAAGCGACCTCCTCCAGCATTGGTTTAGCATTAGCGCGCAGGTCGTTTTCTAAGCGGCCGAACTATATACAATATTCCATTGACAAAACAGTTTTGACTTAGGCCTACATGGGTTGAAGCTGTTGATGAGAGAGTTGCGTCTCAGACAGGTGGGAGTATCCACGGCTGCGTACATGTGACCTGTCATCTGTAGAGAACACAACGACCTTTCACCTTGACCTTCCAGCGGCAGGTTGAACTTCTCAAAACACTTGAAACAGAAACACAGAAGTAAACAATACAAAAGGTAGGCTACATGAAATTACATTCTTCTAAAATAAATAAGAAGTTCAGATTAAAGGTTAAATAAATATATAGGATGGAGAGGACACAGCTAACTCACCTGATGAAAGGTTGCAGACGAGTCAAAGAACACATAAAAATACACACATAATAATACTTGATATTTCACTTCTTTCAGAGGTGTCTTCATAAGTAGGCCTAGATGGCAGTTACAGAAACAACAGTTTGAACAGTATCTTGACGTCAACTGTACAAGTGTGCATTCTTGTTTCTTGTTGAAATAAATCTTTGAATCTTGTTCTGTGATTAGGTTTAGAAAGTGATTCAACCCCGGTTGATATCATCAGTTACAGGATATGAATCCATAAACGTGTTGAGATGTAAAATCTGTGCACAAGTGGCTTAGAAAGTTTGTTTTCTATGTAGTATGTTATTAATTTTTAGGAAAAATATCTATATCTATCCACAGTTGGCTTGTACATCCTCATAGCCACATCATTAACCTTTCTGTACAACTCAAGTAAGTTAAAAAAAAACACCACATGTTTTTCTTATTTTTTGTTTTTTTTTGGTAAAAAAAAATGTTCCAGAGCTTTGAAATAAAAGGATTTTTAAAAGAAAAGATATTTACACTTTTCACAAAAAGAACGTTCGAAACTACAAAAAACACGTGCACAAGGATGCTGTTCACTCACTTCATGTATTTGTTTTATGGCTGCAGAATCTTTGATGAAGAAAAGAGGAACCCTCCAGTCGAGTTGCAGGAATCCTGAGCCGAGCGGGTTCCACGGCTCGCTGTCACTGCAAGACCCTAAAACATTAATCTTGGATGAGAATATTAATAATAGACAATATTGTTAATATTGGGTTGTTCTATGCCAAATCATCATGGGAGCGAGCTGGCGTAGTGGTTAGAGCGCGGGACTTCAGTCCCTGAGGTCCCAGGTTCGATCCCCGCCAAGTCACCAATGTATTTGATCTAAGTGATAATGCCGCAACCCCTAGGTCTAGCCTGAAGTAATGTGAAAAACAATCCCAGGCTCGTGCCTAGCGTCCTAGGGGGAAAAAATGCCAAATCATCAACAGTCTGAACCACGAATTCTCAAATTTGGCTGACATTTACTCAGGTATTGTATCTGCCAAGACTATTTTAAAATTAAACTTTTGGTTTTTGAGTTTAAAGGGGTAAAATAAAACCCGTTTTTGAACAATTTAAAATTGTTTTAAAATACCATGATTAAAAAACCATACCACCTAGAGAGCTAAACTGTTCACAGTTTTGTTCCTTTAAGAAATTATCTTTAATTTACAACATGACTTGAATTTATGCTACAAAAATCTTAAAATCTCTTTTAGATTCCTTACATTTTTTTAAAATTAAAATTCCCAAAATAAGTAGCCTTGAATGTTTGTCTTAATCTTATACATGTTATCTAGTCCATCAACATGCATGCAATATTTAAAGACAAAAATCTCAATGGGGTTCTTGTTTAAAAAGAAATTTTAATACCAGGAACACACATAATTGAAGGTAAAAGTCAGAAATAGGGCTGTGAAAAGCTTATTAAAACTGTATAATTTAACAAAACAACTGTCAATATCTAGACTTCTCATTATCAATTACATTCTTAAATTATTTGCTGAATAAATACAATTGTACCAGTATTACCTTCAATACTGGAGTAGCGATTAGGACAGGTGTCGTCCGGACTCATGTTTTTAGGTCTATCCTGCGTTTCGTTGACTGCTAACAAAATCCCGCTGACTCTCGGAGAATCCCTCAATTGCAGCATTACACTCCTGTGGACAAAGTCTGTACATAACTTGAATTTCTACATTCTACTCAAAAATAGATTTGTATGTTGTTAGGGCTCTTCTTCAACGATGTAATAGTCTTTAAAATGTAGAAAAATGTTAGGCTGCAAAGTTAGACATAGACACGCCTGTAGGTTTCAATGTAAAATGGTTTCTATTTAGATGATGCTAAGTAGATAGTATTTACCGGGTGAAGAGTTGTGGAGGTACTACTGCCATGTAAGGCCCAGCAGCCGACTGCTGTAGGAGCCATTGGACGTCGGACTGGTTGTTGACAAAGTGGACCACTCCTTTGCTGCCCGACTGGGGTGCTGGAATCACAGATTAGAGTATCTAGATAGGTCACTTTATCTACAGAAAATTACAAATACTTTCACCTTTTAACCCATTGATCCCCAAAAGGATATATTTAGGCTTTGGAGAAGATTGTTGACCGTTTAGTAGCCTTTGAAAATGATGTTGACCACTAAAAAAGGTACCGGTATTATATATAGCCAGGCGTTGTACGCAGAGAGCCTATAAACATGGCTATTTTGCATTTAACATAGTTATTCCTTCATTATAGTACCTATGTAAGAATATGAATACCTAATGAAGTAATATAGAAACTAAGTAGGCCTAGTGTGTTTTAGTGACTAAATTTCACAGCACTTTAGGGAAGAAATCTAGGAATGTTTCAGTAAAAACGAAACATTGTATTATAAGATAGGCCTAATAGTGATAACAAAATACAGGATGGTCATAAATTATTGGCTTTATTTCTGTTGCTTTTTTTTGCCTCCTGATCACAAATTTAAATTAATCTAGAGGTTAAAATACCATAAATCCGTCAATGTGATCAAATGTCAACCGATGAGCGGCGACCGGTTTCAGCCCAGCTGTGAGGCCATCTTCAGGCGATGAAGGAACATAGATATCACTCCGAAGAGGTCGTTATAAAGTCTATAAATACATCACGAGAAACAACAACGTATTTATAGACTTTATGACGACCTCTTCGGAGTGATCTTATATATTTAAAAAATTTGGTTTTTCTTTTCCGAGTTCGTTTGGCTCTTCTACCCGACCGATTTTCATGATTGAGGTCTCGAATTGAAGGTATGCACGCACAGATTTGCCATCAAGCATCGGCATAAATGTATATATAATCCTACTTAGCATATACGTAAACAAAATTTGCTCCCCATGTATTTCTTATGGGAGTTAAATTTGGTTTTTCTTGGCGAGTTCGTTTGGCTCTTCTACCTGACCGATTTTCATGATTGAGGTCTTAAATTGAAGGCACACACGCAGAGATTTAACATCAAGCATCGGCCATCGACGTAAATGCATCGGCATATATTTACCTACTGTATTATTTGACCGAAAAACATAATTTGATTCATTTTCGAATCCTTACTTCAATTTAAGATATATTTAAATTAGTTAGGCTATAATTATACAATCCTATATATTTTGGCTAAGGACCTTCAGTGAAATACCTGCATTCATTTAAGCTACTGTATTAGTTATTCAAATTGGACAAGTTTCAAGCAAACGCAAGGAGAACAACCAACATAAACATTATTTTTCATAAGTTTTTTCTATGACTAAAAATCAATAGCTCCAGTATTGTTCATGTGGATGTTTTGGACTCAAAATAATCAGTAATTATAGGCTTAAATTGAGATAAAATGGTTTGAATCAGTATCAAGATAAGTTACTGTATTACTCATCCAAAAATCATAAATTTGATTAGTTCTTAGGATATTGTATTTGTAGTTTAACGCTGCGGAGCAGCATGGGTCTTCTAGTATCTATGTTATATCTATGTTAACATAAGCTTGTAGGTTGTAAATATTTTGAATTTTATAGGCTATGCTCTTTCCACTATTGTACATTTCTGAATATAATAAACTATCTAGGTACTAAAATAGATTTAACTATGTCTTACTTCCACATCCAAACTGATTAGTTCCGTTAAGAAGACGAAAACACATTGCAGAATTCTTAAATGTTTCATACATCATTTGGTTAATATCTTGTCGCTGGGCAGAAGCTGGAAACAATTAAGAGTTTTAACATCTAGTTTAAGTCTTATCAATCTTTAAAACAAAGGATTCAATGCAAATAAAATAAATATTTGTTTAAATTGTGGTTAAGAAATTACATTCCCTAGGCTTAATGTCCATTATCACAAATGTAGGCCTAACATTTATTAGGCTATATTTTTTTCCTGTAAATGAAAGTCTCATAATTAACTTAATTAGGTACTAAACATTTTTCACTTATAATTAATTAGCAATCAAATATGAAAACAATAATTCTTAAGACTCTTACACCAGCAAACTTTGAACTTAAGCGTCAACGTCTAGTCCAAATCCCCACAGTAGGGCATACCAACAGTCTCAGAACTAACTTAGGCCTACTGTTTGATATTTTATATGGTCCGCGTTTTCAATTTTGTTTATATTGTCATTCGTCTGCTTTCATTGCAATGTTAAATGTCTATTTAGGCCTATATTGTTTTTGTGGTTAAATATTCTATTGTTATAGCGAATTTCCCATATAGGGAATAAGTTTAAGCTACTACCGTACCGTAGTACTCTTGGTACAAGACCTGGACCCGGGCCCGATTTACTTTTTCGTTTTGAGGTCCCTAGAGGTCAAAAACACCATCCGTTCAAATTCAGTAATAATATACAGTATATATTATATTGGATATTGTTCACATTTAGGGCTACCGGTAACTTACTGTAATAATTCTTCAAGAAGAACTGGTAACTTAATATTGGAATTAATATAAATTTGAAATAAAAACTTCACACTTCACTAAAAATTGAAAAATATTATTCAAGATTTTATTTCAAATTTATACTGTAATTAATATTAATATTAAGAAAAACATTTGACAAGTGAAAATTCAAAATTAACTTAGTTATAGACCTTTTCTAGTTCGTTTATCAATCCCAGGGACCACACAATTGAATTGTAACTTAGGGCTATTCCAGAATTGAGCGAACAAGAGTAATAAAGCCTCTAGAGAGTTTACTTTTCAGTCAGTGAGTCTAGTCACTTCTCAGATGAAATAAGTAATTACCCTAAAGGCCCGTTCACACGGGGCGAGTTTACAAGCTACACGCCAGCGTGTAAGAAGCCGGCAAGTTGGCGAGTGTGCTTGTATTCGTTCACACAAAGCTTGTCCACTCGCCAACTCGCAGACGTGTAGAAAGACGCCGGCGAGTTGGCGAGTGTGCTTGTAGTAGTTCACACGATGCTTTTTCCACTCGCTCAGTAAGTAGCTGGCTTGAACCAAATCCTTCAACATCTTTGAGTAACAAGCACACAAGCACAAGCAACTGTGTTCACACTGGGCTACTTTACACGCCTACTCGCTCAAAAGCTGGCGAGTTGGCGTGTAAAGTAGCGGCAGCGTCGACTTTTTCCAGAGCTTTTTTACAAGCAGCTTTTGAGCGAGTACGTCGTTCACACTGAGCTATTTTACTAGCTGCGTGTAAAAAAGCCGGCTTGTAGCTTGTAAACTCGTCCCGTGTGAACGGGGCTTTACTCTAGCATTTTTTAGAAAATTACAAAAAATCTAGCACCCAAAGGGTTAGTCTAATAACTTATATAATAAACCTAGGCTATTTTTTACCTAAACAAGATTAGTTCTTAATCCTATTCTCTAATACGAGCTAGGCCTATAAGTTAACTCAATAACTCGGTGTTGAACCAAGTAGACCTAGGCCTATAACTTAAGACATATTTTCATTCGATTGAATTGATTTTCAATTAAATATATTTTAATAACATTAGGTTTAACGAGTACCTAGGTTTGCTGCTACAAGGAAACTAAGTTAATAAAGTGTGTTTTTTAGTAAAGTATTGATAGCTCAGTACAAAATAAATAAATTTGCCAAGTTTGATCAAATTATATCCATAAACAAGCAAACTACAACATTTGACGATTATTCTCCATATGAATAATAACATGGAAATTTTAAATTTACATTTTTTTAAATTTTCTCTGTTAATAACAACCGAACAAAAATACTTTTATATAGGCTACTAAATTATTTGTTTTTTTTTTTAAGCTCCTTAAAAAGGTCCAAAGAGAAATTGGGAAATTTTGTGTTTTGAGGGTCAAAAGTAAGAAAAACAAATTTTTACCCCATAAAACCCCCCGTAAAGCCCCGTTCCCATTGTCCGATCATGCTGGTTGTATTTATATATAGGCTAATATATATATATAGCCTATATAATATACACATACAAATTTGAACGAATAGTGTTTTTGGCCTCTGGGGACATCAAAATGAAAAAGTAAATCGGTCCCGGGTCTAGGTCTTACCGTGCCACCTACGGTAATAGCTAACTTACTTCCCTATAGGGAAATTCGCTAAAACAGATGAAATATGAATTGTAAAGGAAAACAAAAATAGGCCTATCGATATAAAGAAAAGAAATCATCGATAATAAGCTAATGAATGTTCCCCTTAAGGAGAGTAAATTACCAGGTAGTTTCTCGTTTTCTACCATTTTGTTAGTAAAGACCCCATGATATTACAATTTGTTTGGTTATTTTGAAAAATTAATTCAGTCCTAGATGGCCTACTGAATACCCTAGGTCGTGCTTCTAAATTTTAAACTTGGACTTAGATTAGATATATTTGATAGGCCTGTAGGCTAGGCCTATTTGTTAGTATAGGTAGCCTAAGACATGATCACTTACCCAATGGAAAAGACAACAATAATAGTCCCATTGTAAGTAGGCCTAAATAGCTCATAATAAGATACTTTAGCGTAATCATGTTAGCCTATTTATAAAAATTAAACTTTAAAAACTCAAGAGAGTAGAGACTAGGTTACCAGTTCAACTCAAAACTAAAATTCAACTAGTTCTAAAGTCCTTATTAAACTCAATTGCAATTCTTCAAGTTAGTCATCACACTAGTTAGTGTACACACACACAGCTCGGCTAAGCTTAGCTTCCACTTCCAATCCAACTTCCATCCATCCATACATTCAAATACATAACCTCAAACTAACAGCTTAAACAAAAAATCCTGAGCCAAAAACAAAACACTGTCGTCAGTCGTCGCGGCCCTTTTGATTTTGGCCTCTCTTTAAAGAGATTGGTACTTATTATATTGTCTGTGGTATGGAGTTTTATCCAAGTGATTTGTACGTTTTCCACACTGTTCCACCATGGTTTTGCTTGGAGAGCGACAGGTGCGACGGGTGGGTGCGACCGACCCGAGACCCGAGCGGCAGTCGCGCCTCGCGGGACACTGCTCTTGCGCTCTTGGCCCTTGGGGGTTTTGCATAGTCCTCTTTTGCTTGGAGCGATAGTCGCACCTGTCGCTCCAAGCAAAACGTACCTTTACACATTTTTAAAAATACGGCCACCTTTAACACCAGGCCAGGTTGAATTGGCAACGTCGCAAGTGCAAACTACTACGTCACACTATGCAAACATTGCAAACCCCCCCCCCTCCCAAGAGCCATCGCCTGTCACTCTTACTTGGCAACGTCGCAAGTAGGGTTGTTTAGTGACAGACGTCTCGTAAGATAAAAGGTGACATCAGCTCATTCGCACTTTATTGATTTAAATTTTAAATTTCTGAACATAAATTTATTAAAATATTGAAAATAAAGTATACGGTATTGAAAACCAAAACGATATGAGTTGAAAATTTACATCTGTACATTTAAAGCGGAGTCAATATTTTCATAGTCCAGTAACCAAGCTTTCGTAAATACACAAATACCATTAGCTGCTGCCAGACTAAAATCTGTTACTACCCCACTGGCGACGTTGCCACTTCGATGGCCACAGCGGTGCTAAAGGCGGCCGTGCAAGAGTAGTGTCCCACGACGAGCGCGATTGTCGCACCTCTCGCTCCAAACAAAAAAACGTACTTACTTGTGCTGCTTAGCCTATAATTAAACTTAGTTTATTTTATGATCCTTTATTTTAATTCAAACCTCAAATAAAGGAGGCCAAGATAGCCACAATCGTAAGAAAATGTGTAAGAAGTCACTTTGGTAAAATTCCATATAATACCAATCTCTTTAAAGAGAGGCCAAAATAAGAGCCCAGTGGCTTCAGCTTCGGGATTTTTTGTTTTAGCTGTTTGTTTGGGGTTATGTATTTGTGTAATTTTGTATTTAAGGAAGCTGAAGGAGTTGTGTACACTTAACGTATTGACTAAGTTTATTGAAGAATTGCAATTGAGTTTAATAAGAACTTTTTAGAACTAGTTGAATTTTAGTTTTGAGTTGATCAGCTAACCTAGTCTCTACTCTCTTGGTATTTAATACCATTAGTTGCCTCTAAACAAAACAGCTGTTACAACCCTACTTGCGACGTTGCCACTTCGAAGGCCGCGGCCTGGAGTTAAAGGTGGCCGTGAATGACGTGGTAAGAAGATGTTCCAATATTAATGGAGTATAAATTGTAATTGGTATTTTTTCATATTTTACAATACAATCAACAGAATATAATTTTCACTCTGTGAGGAGGGGAGGAGGTTGTTTATAACACTTACTTCCAATTCAATTGATGCTTGTGCGTGTAATGCAATTTACAGAGAAATTGAGTAAATTTATTACAATATGGCTTGTGGCATGGTGATTTTGGAATGTTTATAAAAACAAATAACTAAAGAATATATAATTGTTAATTTTTACCAAGTGTAGGCCTATTTATCGAATTTATTCAGTGAATTCATGCTTAGTGCGTGTGGCGGTAACACGTCTTGGTGACGCCAGGAAGAAGTTGTCGCTCCAAGCAAAACAGTCCCCCACCCCATGACTGCCACTCGGCGACAGTCGCACCTGTCGCTCCAGGCAAAACGTAACTTATGCTTTATGCTTAAAGGAAGTATGCTTTATCCATGGTTTAATGCAATATAACAAAACAGATTTTGTTTTAAAACAAAAGAAGCCGTTGTTGGAGTGTATCTAAGCAATTTGGTACAGAATGCTGAATTTTCTGTCATCTCACAATATGATCTTTATTCTTATAACCAATGGCGTAAAGTCTTCTGCAGTTTTCTTACTTACTAGTCTAGCACTCCATTCCTAATGATCTTCTCCTTCTTTTTCCTTTCACTTTTGTTTCCTATCATTCTTTGCCAATGCCATTCTTTCGTTGCTGTATTTACTTTTACTGTATTGTGTTGATTTGAGGAATAATCATTCTTGGTTGATAAATGATAAATAAACCAGCAAGTATGATAATGTAATTTGTTGTTACATTTTATTTTTCAAGTGTTTTGAAGTTGAAAACTCTATTATTTGTGTAAAGTGATCAAATCTTAAGTACTAACAGGTCCGCAACATTACGCCTGCTTCACTGGGTTTGAAAGAAAGCTGATAAAACGTCCGGTTAAGTCTCACAGTGTTTTTGATAACTCATATTGGCCTGCAAAGATTTTGTTTAAGTTAACCCTTTTAGCTTAATATGTCTAGAAATGAAACAAGAATTTATGTTGGTAATTTGCCTCCCGATATTAGGACCAAAGACATTGAAGATTTGTTTTACAAGTTTGGTAAGGTTATGTTTGTTGATTTAAAAAACCGCAGGGGACCACCATTTGCATTTGTTGAATTTGACGATGCACGGGATGCAGAGGATGCTGTTCAAGCTAGAGATGGGTATGATTACGATGGCTACAGACTTCGAGTGGAGTTTCCTCGAGGTAATGGGCCAAGTGGATTCCGAGGTCGAAGTGGAGGTTCATCATCAAGAGGAAGAGGTCCTCCTGCAAGGCGTTCCCAATATAGAGTACTCGTCACTGGATTACCTCCATCAGGAAGTTGGCAGGATCTGAAGGATCATATGCGAGAAGCTGGAGATGTATGCTTTGCTGATGTTTACAAAGATGGAACTGGTGTCGTTGAATTCTTGCGATACGAAGATATGAAATATGCATTCAAGAAACTCGATGATTCCAGGTTTCGATCTCATGAGGGTGAAACTTCGTACATCAGAGTAAAAGAAGATTATTCTGAGAGCGGTGGTGGAGGTGGAAGTGGAGGATATGAAAAAGCTGAAAGAGGAGGTAGTCATAATAAAGGTAGGTCAAGAAGCAGAAGTTACTCCCCCAGGAATAGAGGCTCACCTACTTACTCTCCAGTGAGACGTTACTCTCGTTCTAGATCACGATCTTAAGCATTCAAGAATCAATCATCACCAGCTTAACAAGGTTTCCAACATTTTTTTTGACAACTCAATTTCTGTGGTCCCTTGTGTGTTTTAATAGTTTTAGTGTAGGTACCTTAAAACTTTAATACTGATTGACGAAAATAGACTGGTAACCTAAGCTTTCCATTTGGTGATGAAAATGATTCTTGTACAATGAATTTTTAATCATAATGTATTTTTCAATCATGTTTCCTGAATAAAATTTTTTTAACAGTTTTAAAGGTATTTTGTAAAGATTATGTTTTATTAATTAAAGTTATTCCTCATAGTTTGGCTTTTATCTTTTGTTTATTTGAGACCCAAGAACACATTAGGTAGCCTATCTAGCCTATATCAAACCAAGTAAGTTTGACAATCTTCTCTTTGTTAATGTCCCCATAGGGTTGCCATATCCCCGGATTTCCCCGGAGATTACCGGAGGGATTTATACAAAAAGTGAGAAATCTCCTCCTTTTACTCTCTTCTAAAATACCTACATTATATAGGCTAACGGCACTTTTGGAATAAAATAAAAGTTTGTGTTTGCAAATATCGCTAGCCTATGCAAAATTACTGAAAAATGCAACTCTCAAACTCAATACTATTGTGTTTTTATTTCTTGGTTTCACTTTGGCCAGCAAGGTCTTAGTTTATCTTTATCGTCTGTTTCATTGCTCCCAGTCCTTCAATTCGCATATGCCGGCCAGTCTGAAGGTATCCGTGTTCCAGGACTACTAACATAGAAGGGCTAACCCACTAGTGCTAGAAAAGTGATTCCAGCCCCTCTCGCCTCGTGGCCGGGTGTGACGTAGCCGCAGGCGCTGTTCCGTGCAGCAGTTGGCCTACAGTACCTCATAGCCTACCTGTGTTTGCACTCGCTCTGTCGTGAATTTTGTTCTCATAATCCAGATTTATGACTATATCGGTTTTTTATAACACATTTATTAACAGTTACCTATACAATGAAATAATACTGGTAACACTTTTTAAATTTTATACAGAAAATAATAGGCCTAGGCCTACAGTAAGACCTCCATAACAAGAATCTCATGGGGATTAATTAATTAAACCTGTTATCAAAATTGACTTCTTATTGAAGTTTGTAAAAGCATGTAATTAGGGGTAAAATTAATTCAAGGGGATTTGAAAATTACACTTGTTATTAAGGGTAACTTGTTATCAAGGGTTTTCTTGTCAACGTGTAAAATGATATCATAACAAAAAAAAAAAACTATTTCTATGCAAAACCGTTATAAACAGAAGATAAACTACAAGCGTAAAGCACGTGTTACAATGGCAGTGTCTGGCGGCAGCGCCCGCTGCTACGTCACAGTGGTGGAATGGGGAGAGGTAAGGGCGCGCTGGGTGAGGGGGGGCGGCACGCGGTCATCAAAGGACTGGGCTAGCCCTTCTATGTTACCGTAGTAGTCCTGTCCGTGTTCACTAGCAGACAGAGAGCATTTTATCTTTATTCGGTTATTCAATATTTTTAGTGAGATGGAGATGTGACAAGCAATGCAACATTTTAGTTCTCACGTACCATTTTAATATTGACAATGTAGCACAACTATTGGAACAGAAACAGTATCGGATTAATAAACAAGAGCAAATGACGTCACTGGCCCGAATGTCTAATAGCGGTTTTTGAAAGTTACATTTAAAGGATAGGTAATAAAACCGTGTTTACTTTCTGGCCAGTTTGTTAATATGTTTATGACCCATACAGTTTCTGTTACCCTATCTATTTTTGGTATGTAGGCTACTATAGGTCTACAATTTTGCTTGCCCGTTAATTTTTATCCACTATTGTAGTGGGGGCCGCCAGCTAAATCTCCTCTTTTTTACACATAACCATACAGCAACCCTATGTCGTCACCACATTGCCAATTTAAGTGCTAAATTAATGAATTTTGAGCATTTTTTAAAGAGGAAAGCGGTCTAGACCCCTCTAAATCAATCTATATGGATGTTTTGCAAATAGAATCTGTTCCTCACACATCTAAAATAAGTCTGAGACACTGCCTGCCATGCTTTCAACAGTTCTTTACTATCTAAATAAATTAGAGTTATACTAGGCTATCTAAAAACTTAGTGTACAGTAGCCTAAACATTTTTACTTTCACAAAACAGTACATTCATTGCACTGAACTTAAAACTTTGAATTACCTTTGAAGTTACTCTTTTAATTGTAAATCTTTTCCATTACCAATAATAAATACACTTTGCGTGATAACTATGGTAACTTATCTGTCTTACTGCACCCGGAGAGGGTGAGAATGCATCTCTGGATAAGAAACATGTTTACATGTTAGGCCCGATTTCACCAAACGCTTAAACCGCCGTTAAACTTTGCTCTACCTGCAGTTGGCCTGTAACAGACGAAATCGGAATCAACCACTCTCCGTTAGAGCTAGTTTAGACTAACTCGTCGTTAAAGAATTAACTGCCCAATTTTAACAAGTACTGTAAACTTATTTAAGTACTTTAAATAAGTTATCAGCTGGCAGCATTTTGTTTTGGTAACAAATTTTGAGAAACCCTTCCCGACAGACCGCCAACGCCCACCACCACCCACCACCGCTCGAGCGAACAACATTATCGCAACGATACGTTGTACAGCCATCGGTCTCGGTGGTGTAGTAGATAGCGCACCGGGCTGATAATTCGAAGGTAGCCAGTTCGAAACCCACCGAAGGCATTAACTTTTTGATTCAATTTTTTTTCACTACGGTATCAGCAAGGTTGGTTGGTTTGGTTAGGTTATGATGGTTTAATTTTATAATTTAAAAATTATAATTGATTTTGAGACATTCATAATTTTATTTTATGAACAGAACTATTTTTGTTAATAGTAAACCATCACTCGATATTTTCATAATCAGCAAGTTTGGTTAGGCTATGATAGTTAAATTAATTTAAATTTAACCTACAAACGATACGTTTTGACAGCGACAGTGATAGAGATAACAATTTCCCACGAACAGTTTGGCTATGCATGGTATGATGCGTTCTGCACGGAGCGGTGGTGGGCGGTGGCGGTCTGTCGGTAACGTCTCGTTGTACTACAGTTGTAAATATAGTTATGTAGTATAGTTTCAGGTACTCTCACTTATGTTTTAATCTCTTTCTTACTGTTTTGTAGTCAAAATTTTCAACTAGAATCAATTCTAGAACCTTTGCTCTCAGAGTTCTTTTAAGCATGCTGGCGTATTGTCTAATCCCCAATTGTAACCTTAAAACAGAGGGTGAACTCTTTATTTTCTAGACCTAAGTTACACCTTTTATGGTTTTGACATCATAAGATGTGGAATTGCCCCTGAACTGGTTTATAACTAATATAATGGTTTAATTACCTTCAGACTCCAGTTCAAAGTAAGTCGATTAATGCGACCTAGGTTTCAGCACGACGTGCTATCATTAGGCAGCAACAACAAAAGAATTAAAACAAAAAGAAATTAATTAAAAAGAATTAAACAAAGAATTAAAACCATACAATTTATTACCCGCTTCTAGAACCTCCAATAAATTAGAACGCCTTGTAACTATAAGACACCCCTTTAATGACTAAGGGAAACTGGAAAAAACTGGTGTATATAAGCTAAAATGTGGTGAATGTGAACAATACCACATCGGCCAAACAGGTCAGTCATTTACAACCCGGTTGAAAGAACACAAACCAAACCCCCGACTTATCCAACAAAAATCTACATTCGCCCAACACATAACCAAAAACGACCATAGACCGGGGAAATTGGACGAAAATGTTACCATCCTCAGCTATTGCAAAAAATGCTTTTTATTACATACATTAGAAGAATTTCACATCTACAAGTCATTAAAACAATATGCTGACAACCTAATGAACGATCAAATCCACCACAGCTCCAATTTAATTTTCAACAAAATAATCGAGACCCAAGCGACACTGACGTATCCTATTTGCCAAGGATCAAGACAATACAAAGGACAAAGGTCAGGTAGACCACAAGAATTATCTAGCTAGTTGTGGCTTGGATGTCACTCGTCGCGGCCGGTGATTTGACAAAATGTACTCGTTCTCCCCTTGTAAATACCGATCGGTAAATGTGTATGTGTTTGTGTCAACTTGTGAACTGTATATAGTTTTTACTAAATGACGTCCAATGGACTGAACATTTTCGACTGGAAGCCTGATGATAGCACAACGTCGTGCTGAAACCTAGGTCGCTTTAATTGACTTACTTTGAACTGGAGACTGAATGTAATTAAACCATTATATTACCTTTTATGGGTCAAAGTGTAAGTCCTGTACTCCTGTGTGAAAGAGAGTCGTTATATTTTAGATAGTATTTTTGGAGAGATGAAAAAAGTATTTATGAACGAACGGGTTGAAAGTTGTGTTGAAGGACTGAGTGATGGGTGGCTAACATGAGATTAATTAACAACTGGACGAACGGAAACGGTAGACCCCTCCCCCTCAGTAAGAGAAAAGGGATACAAAGCTACACTTAATACCAATCAGAAAATAACACTTCTACAGGGTTCCCGCATGAACCTGGACAATCAGGGAAACAGGTAGAGGGTCAGGGAAAGTTTTAAAAAAAGGCCGCAAGTCAGGGAAAATTTTTGAAAATAGGCCTAAAGTAAAGTCAGGGAAATTTATCAAAAACTTGTATAGAAAATTAATAAAAACGCGATAATTATTATAAGAATAACTAAACTATTAATATTTTACTAAAAATTACACTTTATTAGTTTCCTTGAAGCAGCAAACCTAGGTACTTTTTAAATAGATTAATTAAAAATTAATTCAGACGAATGGAAATTCACTTAGTCAGGAGGTTTGCTGCAGCAGGAGGTATTATATGTATTTACCGTCTTGTGAGTCAAAAATACAAGTGTAAATATATTATTACAAGTGTTATTAGACTTACATCTTTTAATTTTTTCAGGCTAGTAAAATAAAAAAACTTCAATTAGCCACAAGCCAACTAACTTAGGGTACCTACACCAGTTTAGTCTAGTTTTTTCCTTTTTAAACAATTACTAAGCTTACTATAAAGCAATCTGTTTGTGATTGTAACCTCTAATAATGGTTTTGAGTGAAAATTTAAAAACGTACGTTTTCATGTCCCTGGCCTTTTACTTCGTAGATAAGTTACTGGATTTGTAGTTTATTATTATGTGTTTTAATATTTTTTGGGACGGGGCAAAATGTTCATGTTACACACATTTATTTGGTTTTAAATAGGTTCTATGTATTTTTTTCGTATTTTTAAAGTCTCGAAATTCACGACCATGACTTGTCCC